TTCGGATGAATTTTTGAAAATATCGATTCGTTTTCGATTGGCTCTCATCTCGCAGATTCTTGCGAGGCGAGAGGAAGTTCATTGAAGGGCGCGATGGAAGTGCGATGATGATGCGATATTTCATCATCGTGAATGTGGACGAGTCAAATGGAGTCGCCGACCTCCCGCGTCGAAAGTATCGAATGATTTCCTAGTGCGGCTCCCGATTATTAAATGTCGAATGCGAAAGAACGAACGATCGATCGCGTGACGAGGCGGAAAAGAATCGAGCGCTCGCGATCGCGCTATCTAGATGAAGTTCATTAGAACGAAGTCGAACACGTCGTTTACGTTATGGACATCATCTGTCTGTCCGAGCATAAACACAGCCTGGAGAAAATTGTGTTCCAGTTTCGGAAGAAGTGGACTAATTATCGTCGATGTCGTTTAGCACAAATAATTGTTATTTCTAGTGTTATTTTATATTTTATATAAACTTTAGTTAGACTAACATTAATATTTAATAATAAAATATGTAGAATACTATTAAAGGGAAAGAGAGAGTGCTTTGATACAAAAATATTTATTGTACGTACCTTTATCGATTGAAATAATAACGAGAAAAAGGAAGAAAATTAATTACAGATTAAAATATATTTTTATATCATGTCATATTTTAATGCGTTTATAATTTATTCTTTCGATCGCATTCAATAGTAATTATTATTATTAATATTTTTATCATATTATTTATTATTATTAGTTTTTAATCACTATTATTATAATATTAAAATTTTAATGATGTTGCTAATAATTATGTATATGTTTAAGTTTCCATTAAATATTATCTTTTATTATTAATATAAAATACATGCATTAAATTCACTAATCTTTGACGTGTGGATTGCACGCGAAATAACAAAAAGCGAAATGCGTATTGTACTTCTTGAATAAGATATAAGAATGATTACGTGAACGATTACTGCTGTTACACGATATAAATACGCGTAGTATGACTATATATAACAAATTGAATACAAGTGAATTGCAGTAAATTACTAGCCAAGGTACTTCATTAAGCGTAATATCATTATCGAGGCACTGAACTGTGCGGGAAAATGGTGCGCGAAAGTGATGTTGTATAACGTTATACTTTTCGTAAATCATACACTTATGCGGTCTCAGTGAAGAACATCATGGTATCATCGACAAACAGCAAACGCACGGTTGATAACGTTAAATCGCATATACAATCGCATGGCGGATTATGTGTCCGGATATTTGACCCTGAATGACACGCAATCTAGTCTAAATTTTAATAAAATCGCGCACATTGAGGGAAAAATTTTTTTAAATCAAATAAATTTGTTTTCTTGAAACTTTTGCTTTAAATGCAAGGAATTGTTTATTTCATTTAAGCAAAAGTATTTAATTTTAATTAAATATGCATGTTATATTAAGTATATTATTTTCATTTATATATTTTTTATATTTAAATACTATTTTCGTAAAATATATACTATAATTTATTAAATTAAATATATCATTTTTTAAAATTAAAAAGTTTAAAATTTTTGGGAATAAAAAATGCATTTTAAGAAATATTTTGTAAAATTAAAATAAAAATATTTAATTAAAAATTATATTTTTTTAAGCATATATATTTTTTTAAACATATGTAAATGAATAACTTAAACAAACAGACGTTTTGAATACAAGTAAATACGTGATTAGTACCCACCGAATAAATAGCTTTCTTGAGTTAACTAAAATTTTTTTATTTCAAGATCATTTTTTCCTCAGTGCAGTAAAATGATATGTCAGAATATGCCAAATAACATTTTTTAAATGACAATATGCTCCGTGATATTTCTTATCGCAAAATATAGTTTCAATAAATTGAAGGGAAAAGTGGCCAAATATCAACTATCTCTCTCGAAACATAAAGAAACATTTATTCTTAAGAAATATATATTTCTTTATAATTTGAAGATAGAAGAGCATAAATATTATTATGGATAATTCAAAAGATAATTAAATAGAAATTTTAATACAAATTAAAATTAAAATACTAATAAAAATGAAATAAATTGATCAATTGATCAATTGATATTACTTGAGTGAATTATTGATCATTTTTTTTTTAATCTAATACTAATCTTTTACTCGATATTTTTAATTATTTTTAATGTACGAATTGTAGGGAAATTTATAGCAATTTGTGCATAGAAATCAATGTATTATTGAAATTTATAACAATTACACATGAAAATAAATGTATTATTAAAATTAATACGCGAAAATTAATAATTTAATAATATATTATCATTATTATCATTATATGATTATAAAAATTTACTATATGATTACTATTGTTATTATTTGAGAATTATTATTTATTTGATCAAATGAATATGACGTAAAACGATTTTTGGTATTAATGATGCTCTCCTCGAAATTTAACAATATTAAATATTTTTGAAAACTGTGTTTATACGTTAAAAGCTATAACTGAAATAAATTTGTAAAATTATGTACATCTTAACGAGCACTGCGATAAGTATCATACGCTGAACATGGCTTACGACAAGATAAGTAGGAAGAGTATATTTCATTTTATGAGCACGAAAGGGTTAACTCTGAAGACTAGAAAACACTTCATTTGCGTGAAGACAGGAAAAGGAATCTGACACAATTTGCATATATTATAATGATAAATTCGCGTTTACCGTGTCAGCGAAAAGTGACAGCAAAAACTAGAAGAATTCAGATACCTATTTATATGGAATTTTATAAATAGGTAAATTATTCTATATCAATCTTTTCATTTGTATCTTTTATCATTGTAGCTAAAAGAAGGCGCTAATAAAATAGATTAAATATAAAATAGATTTAAATTTTGTTTGAAATTACTAGTATTTTATTATAGATTATAGTATTTTATTATATTTTATTATTATAGATTATTCAGATTTAAAATTATTCATATTTAAAATTTACACTAAAAATTATTAATTTATTATACAGTTAATCAAGAAGACAAATAAAGTTTACTTAAATTTCTACATATAAATCTCTCAGATTATAAAAATAATGATTTCATCTAACTTAAAAAAAAGAAAACAATTTTAATAATTTATTTTGAATGAGACAACTCAAATTATAAAAACATTACAAATTAAAAAACATTCTTTATATTAATTATTTATATCAATTTACAAATTTATTATGATTTATTACGTATGGACTCAACTCACACAAAAAAAGTTTTATATTTTTAACGATTTATATATTCTTTCTCAAATAAAATAATATAAAATAATTGTATGCATATATAAATTATAGTATGTACATAAAAGTTATTATTGAAATATTATTAAACTAATTTAGAAATTTCATAAATTACTATACGAATTCAAGAAAATTATATTCGGATAAAGATACTCAAAGCTTTTTAAGAGGATTAAAGATTTGAAAATTTTGAACTGTATAATTGATATGTTACAATTAAAAAATTGAGATAAGAAATTTATCTATCATGTGATTTAATCAACTTTCATATTTCTAAATAAAGATTCATAAATGTATAAAAACAAGATAAGCATGATATTGCAACAGCTGTCAATATCTTAATGATAAAAAAATTACTATTACCTATACTATTATAAAAAAAACATAGTCACTGTTAATTTAGTAACCATTATAAAGTATCGTTTAGCAATAATTATTAATTTTATTAATCAAATAAATTACAAAAGGCTATTAATTTTATCTTTGAAGAACTATTACACACTTTGTTCTCGCCTCATCTTTATAATTATATCGATATAATGTCTTAAAATAAATAAGGATAACCCAGGTAAAACATGAAACTCACAATGACATCATTATGATATGATTTTATTTATCACTTAAAAGTTACCTAAAATGATTAAAAAATAAGTTAAAGACGACAAAAAGAATCATAAATTTTTAAGTTCAATAATCGCATATATAATTTTATATAATTTTATATAATTTTAAAAAGATTACGTTGCTTAAATATAATTAAAATATACATGAATAATTAAATAAACAATTGCGTAATATATATAAAAAGTGATATTAATAAGTCGCCAAAACATTGCCAAAAGTAAAAAATGAGATGATTATGATTTTTCTCAAAACTTCTAGATGACTTTTAGGTGACGTCATAATCATGTTATTATGAGTTTCATGTTTTACCCAGGAAATGTTCATCGCGAGGGTGCCCCGATGTGTTGTTATATCAGCTTTAAACCAGGTGTGGATAAAATTGACACCTTCTTAGATAGGCAAGAAAAAAAGAGACACGTCCAAAAGACTCACCTAAATCGTAGCGTTAATTTAGTAAAGTTCATTATAAAGTGTCTAGCAATAATTATTAATTTTGTTAATCAAGTAAATTACAAAGTGCTATTAATTTTATCTTTGAAGAACTCTTACACACTTTGTTCTCGCCCCATCTTTATAATTATATCGATATAATGCCTCAAAATAAACAAGAATAACCTAAGTAGAACATGAAACTCATAATGACATCATTATGACGTCATCATGATTTTATTTATCACTTAAAAGTTACCTAAACAAAAATAATTAAAAAATAAGTTAAAGACGACAAAGAGAATCATAAATTTTTAAGTTCAACAATCGCATTATATAATTTTAAAAAGATTATGTTGCTTAAATATAATTAAAATATACATGAATAATTAAATAAACAATTGCGTAATATATATAAAAAGTGATATTAATAAGTCACCAAAACATTGCCAAAAGTATAAAATCAAATGAGATGATTATGATTTTTCTCAAAACTTCTAGGTGACTTTTAGGTGACGTCATAATCATGTCATTACGAGTTTCATGTTTTACCCAGGAGATGTTCATCGCGTGGGTGCCCCGATGCGTTGTTATATCAACTTTAAACCAGGTGCGGATGAAATTGACACCTTCTTAGATAGGCAAGAAAAAAAGAGACACACGTTCAAAAGACTCACCTAAATCGTAGCGTAGCAAAACCGACAAGCGATCCTCTCCCCTTCACCGAATCTCCGAGGGCGACGTTCGTAAAGGGTGCGGGTGGGGGGGCAAAGTCGGTCCTGCACGCGCCCCCCCCGACGTCACTCGGGATCCGCCGTTCTCGACACGTTCCCCGTGTTTCCGAGTAACGAATACACACTCACATACAGCCAGTGGGCTCGCTATTATATCGTTATTCCGGGTCGTCTCGTGACTCTCCGATCACGCCGCACATTCGCGATCGCACTCGATCTCTCTAATAGCGCACTAATCCAGCGAAGCACTTGATCACTCGGAGCCCGACGACCTTACCATCGCAACTTCGTCAATCTTATCTCACAGCCGCTTCTTCCCTCCTCCCGAAACAATCCACGCACACGCGTAGATGTACCTGTCCTCGTTGTCTATCTTAATTTTCGATCGCGCAGAATCATTGTTCGATTCTCCTCGGTCGCGGTCCGCTCGTCCCTTGTGTGCGCTACGGGGGGGGGCGGGTGGCGAAGGTGACGCGCGATGACAGGTGACGCCGCTTTGACATCTGAGGAAACGCATGCACGTTTTTTTTTTTTTTTTTTTTTCGGCCGATCGAATCGCGAATGACGTCACTAGCCGGCCGGCATGCGTGCGTGCGTGCGTGCGTGTCGTGGAACCGCGGGGAGCCAGTATGGCGCCGGCTTCTTTCGCACTCTCCTCCTCCCCCCTCGGTCACTCACGCTCTTTCTCTCTCTCGCTCGCTCCGTCACATTCGCACATGCATTCCTGCCTTTCTCGCTCCGTCTCTCTCTTTCCTTCACTCTCTCTCTTTCTCTCTCGTTCACTGACGCGTCCCATCCCACTCCTTTTTCGCTCGCCGTGCTCGCATGTCCGACGATGAGCGTCGTTCCTTCAACGTCGTCTCTCGCGACCTCCTTCACTCGACTCGTTCCGCGCGCGACTTCACGACGCGTGTACCTGTCAGCCGCGCGAAGTCGCTCGCGCTTGAGAATCCGAGCCACTCGCGTGGCTTTCCGCGGAACCGGCGGGACGGTTTGGAAATGTGACCACCGCTTAATTACCTATTCGCGATGTCGCGCGAGATTTTTAACCGTCGACGTCACGAGCGAGGAATGTCGCATGCGACGCTCGATTCGGATCGCTAACGTGCGAAGTTGGCGCTTGCGATTAGCCAACCGCGTGCCTGTCTGGCCCCCGCGGGAGAAGTCGGCCGCGAAAAGCGCGCGAATCGTCGGAACTCGCGCTCGTTATCGGCGAAACTCCGAAAAACTCCGAATCGGATCGAATACTATCCGTATTATTCCAATTACTAGCGTACGCACTTTGAGATACGTCAACCGCCACCGCATGCGAACCACGCAACGAACCTTACATTTCAAGCACGCAAAATCGCAACTCTGTCACCCCAGGAGCGAAAGAGAGAGAGAGAAAGACTCACGATTAAAAATTAATTAAATTAAATTAAAAATTAAATGGCCGCTCTCTTTGATGATCGCGCCAAAGAAAAATCGCCTGTCGAAGGAAACATCAAATTTCGGGAAATTCTCTCGAAAAACACGCGCGAAATTCAAGCGATCGACTCTCGAATCAAAATCCAATTGTGCCAACGGTGGAGAGAAAAAAAAATATCGCGATGGACACATTCTAGCGCGCTTTCCTCGGACTCGGACCTTAGCACGCGCTCTCCTCGGGGAGGTGGAGGGAAAGGGGGAGAAGGGAGAGGAGTCGCGAGCCTTCGCGAATGCTCGGCGAGGGCGAGGGCGGCAAGGAATGTGCGAGGGGCGCATCCATTGCGGCACGCACTGGCCCCGGCGTGCGTATCCTACGCGGCCGTTCCTCGGCGCTAAAATGGCGATCGAAGTGACAGCTCTCGCCGCCGTCGCCTCTCCCTCCCTTCCTTCTACTCCTCCTCCTCCTCCTCCTCCGTCTTCTCCGTCACCGGCGAAGCTCGGCTCGACGAGACTTTACGCGCCGGACGACCGGTAGGCGCGTCCTCTCCCTTTTCAATACGATAACAACCGGAGCAGATATTTATTTAGCTTCTTAGAGCCTTGCATCGCGCTCTCTCTCTCTCTCTCTCTCTCTCTCTCTCTCTCTCTCTCTCTCTCTCTCTGTCCCGCATTTACGCACTCTTCGCTCGCGTTAATTCTATTTCTCGTTTTTTTCTCTCGACACGCGACGCGAGAGAGAGGAGGGGAGGCTGTTTATTCCTTTCCTCAGGGCTGGGCTTTACCGAACGATACACCGCCTTGACGGCCACGGGATGACGGTAGCGATAAACACGACGACGAAGACGACGGCGGCGGCGGCGGTACCCGATGGCGGCTTTCTCTCTCTCTCTCTCTTTCTCTCTCTTCCTCTCTCTCGGGGGAATCTCTCTTTCTATCTCTCCTCGATCCCGGACGACGCCTAACACCACCACCTCCACCACCACCACCACCACCACGATGCCACCTACGATAGCAGTGCCTGCCCGGACTCACGGGACTCGACTGGGCTTCGCCAGGCCGCGATACGCCCCTCACCCCCGCCGGCTCCCCGTCGCGCCTGCGCGGACCGGCTATCGCCTCTACCTACTACCCCCTTCGCGCTCTATGGCGGTTGTACTAGCCGTTCCGCGCGCCTCGATCCACCCCCAGCGCAGTTGTACTAACCGTGCGACGTGCCACGAATCCCCGCGGAGCTCCCACGCCCGCGGGACGTCCAATCGCGCGATCCACCGGTGACAGGGATGTATCTCGTAAAAAAAGGCTAGAAGGCTTGTATACGGGATGTTTCCCAGTCGAGACCGATGACGATGGAAAAGGGAGAAAGCTGATACAAATTACAAAGGCCTTGCGATCCGGAAGATAGCTGGAGATGTATATGTATATGTCGCATGTCCTTCTCTCTCCTATTAATATGACACAGTATTCAATTTTGTTGTTCATTCATTGTGAAAGAACATCTTGAAATTTGAGTCGAATGATTTTCTACATATTTTATAGAAATAAATTTTGTATAAAGTTGGGTTGAATAATAACAATGTAAAGAAAAAATATAAATGTTGTGTAAATGCATATTCGTACATTGGATAAAAAAATTGGTTCAATATTCTTCTTCAATTTTCTTGTGTGTACGCTACTTTCTACAACTGTTAATGTATATATATTCAGAATGTTATCACTTTTGTATCAATTAATTAATTTCTTGATTAGTTTTTCCTCAACTGAATGTCAGAAACCTTTATCTATTATTGTAATTTTCCAATATTCTCAGTATTATACGATTTTACAATTAAGCTCCTAAAGTTTCTAAAAATTCTGTCAATTATAAGAATAAATGATTATTATCTATTTGCACTCCATAAGATTTAATTCACGAGAGAGATCAATCTCAGATATAATCTTATTCCAATTCACTGAGAAAAAAATCTGGTTGCGTTAATTAGAATTCTGGTATATTCAACCAGAATGTCTGTTGAAAAATGGACGAATCAGAATTTTTGTAGAAATTACCAGATGAATCTGATTAATTTCTTTCTGTTAAATTTATTAAATTTTCTGGTTAATAATACTAAACTTGCCAGCACCAAGTCGTCTAAAATTTTTCCCATCTAATCTCAAAAGTCTGTTTAATATTCTGAATTCCAACAAGATTATTGGATAAATTCAATCCAGATTATTGAATAAATTATTTTAATTCAATTCGTTAGAAATTAAACTGATAAACAGTGATGCAAGAAGAGGATTGCAACTCAAACACACGCAACCAGAGAGCTAGCGTTCTCTTTCTGGCACTACTGCTCATAAGAGAAAAAAAAATATATTTTAAATTTAATGTTAATACTAGTTTTTTATATACATTTCATGGCAAATATTGAATATGAGATAAGTGAAGAGAGAAAAAAAATTAAGAAATTAATGTAACAAGAAATTTTATAGATTCAACCAGAAAATATTAACCAAATCCTTATAGTAAAATCTATTAAACGTTCTAATTATAAAAATCGAATCTTATCATGATAACTAGAAATTCTTGTTTGATTTAACCAAAATGCCTTCAATAATATACGTCTTGTTGGTACAATCAAACGATTTTTCTCAGTGTAAGAATAAATGATTATTATCTATTTTCACTCCTAAGATTTGATTCACGAGAGAGATCAATCTCAGATGTAATCTTATTCCAAGTGATTAATTATCGAATAACTATCAATGATTGGATTTTCGTTTCAAATTTCTTAAATATTCGAGGAGTCGTAACGACGGGAGACACCCGTTATAAAGTCGCGGCGATAAATGACTGCACGCGCGGGATGACACGCGTTAAAGCGCAATGATGAGGACGTGAACGAGACGGGAGGGGAAACGGGCGCGCGTATGCAAATGCGTGCATTGCTCGACGTTCGACCTCTTACACGAGTAGATACGCGAAAGAGGAAGATGAAAGAAACGAGAAACGCGCGCAGAAAGGAGAGAAGGATAATTCGCGAAGGAGGGAATCGCGTCGATCGTTTCGCGAAGGTATTCTCCTATGGAGAAGAGAGTCGATCGCGTACAAATTTTTTCGCATCCCTTTGAAGTCGGCCGCTAAAACTCGACGGAGCTACTAACCGAGCCGCGAATATCACCTGCAAAACAGGCCCCACCTTGCTTTACCGATTGAACACCTTATGGGCATTCTTCTCCTGAGCAATCGAAGGGAAGATTTACATTTGCAAAAGTCAAATACTTGAACTTAATATATTTTCGTGTCTCTCAGATATACGTATCTCAAGTATGCTTACCAGACGACAGTTAGATGTAGGAAAATTTATGCACGGAGAAGCACAGTCACTTTTAAGCCTCTCCTTACATTCTTCCGAGTGAGATGTATATTTTCTAGGAAATTAGTTTCCGAGTAACACACAGTTTTGAACATTTCAATTTCAATAAAATTTTTAGTGTTACATACGCGTGTTTTAATTCTTTACATGTATTATTCAAATTGCATCTTTCGAGAGCACAATTTTTAAAATAGGTCAAATTGATAAATGTTACCCACCGTTGTGGTGAAATAGTTTCAATTCTCTAAACATATGGATGATTAACACGAAATAATTTGGTTAATGTTAACAAATAATTTTAGCAAAACGTAATACGGTTTGATTAATATTAACAAAGTTTGATGATTATTACCAAGTAATGATAAATATTACTAAACGATTTGATAAATATAAACAGATTGTTTATTAATAATTATTGAATTATTTGATAATTATTCTCAATTACATGATAATTATAACAAAATAATATAATAAATATAAATGAATTTCTGATTAATAGTTATTGAATTACTTAAATATTACCTAATAGTACGATAAGTATAACAAATCAATTTGTAAATATAAATAAATTATTTAATAATAGTTACCAAATTATAAAATCATATGATAATTATAAAGAGATGATTTAATAAATATTAGCAAATTACTTGATAGTTATTACACTATACATTACATATATAAATTCTTATGAAATTTGTTCTCGTAATATTTTGTATGAAAGATTTTATTATAGGCTATTAAATAATTAAATAAATTAGTTTTAACGAAATGTGAAATAACTATGATATAATATTATTTCACACACACAATATAAAATATTCAATGAGATTTACAATTATATCACATTTCGTTAAAATTAATTTATTATTTAATATCCTATAATAAAATATTTTACACAAAATATTACAAGAAAAAATTTTATAAGAATTTATGTATGTTTCATACTTTCTTTTTTTCCCTTTCTCTTTGGAAAAGATATAAAAACTAGAGGAAAAAAATGAATTTCAAAGTACCCCAGGTAAAACATGAAACTCATAATGACATGAAACTCATTATGACGTCACCTAAAAATCATTTTAGAAAAATCATAATGATCTCATTTGATATATTTTTGGCGATGTTTTGGTGACTTATTTTTGATATTAAACAATTCTAGCGAATTCTGTTGGAGAATATATATACTTCGCGTATAAATCTTAAGAATCAATCATAATAATATCATTTTTTACATATATTACGCAATTACTTGTTTATTTAATTATTCATGTATATTTTAATTATATTTAAGCAACATAATCTTTTTAAAATTATATAATGCGATTATTGAACTTAAAAATTTATGATTCTTTTCGTCATCTTTAACTCATGTTTTAATCATATTTGTTTAGGTAATTTTTAAGTGATAAATAAAATCATGATGACGTCATAATGATGTCATTATGAGTTTCATGTTCTACCTGGGACATATATTATAATAAGTTTGACAGACGCGAGTAGAAAGCCGCAAGGAAGCATGCGAATAAAATAATAATACACTGAGGGAAAAATTATCTTGAAATAAAAAAATTTTAGTTAACTCAAGAAAGCTATTTATTCGGTGGGTACGTATTTACTTGTATTCAAAACGTCTGTTTGCTTAAGTTAAGTATTTATTTACATATGTTTAAGAAAATATATATACTTAAAAAAATATAATTTTTAATTAAATATTTTTATTTTAATTTTACAAAATATTTATTAAAATGCATTTTTTATTCCCAAAAATTTTAAATTTTTTTATTTTAAAAAATAATATATTTAATTTAATAAATTATAGTATATATTTTACGAAAATAGTATTTAAATTTAAAAAATATATAAATAAAAATAATGTACTTAATATAACATGCATATTTAATTAAAATTAAATACTTTTGCTTAAATGAAATAAACAATTCCTTGCATTTAAAGCAAAAGTTTCAAGAAAACAAATTTATTTGATTTAAAAAAATTTTTCCCTCAGTGCAGAAAGCCGCAAGGAAGCATGCGAATAAAATAATAATACAGATATCTGTCGAAAGTTACATTGGCAGAGAGTATCGATGATGAATCGGTTTTTCAGCCGGAGTCAATTAACCTTTGTTTGATCTAAATTTGATCGAGTTAGTAGATTCACAGCTCGCCACTTACAACTCGGCAGCTCGCGAATGACGCTGAAAACAATGCAAGTACATATCGGATTATGCTCGTTAGGTCGCCTGGGCCGATGGCGGTGTCACTTTTGTTATTTATGCGCGCGTAGTATATGGTCGGCGTTAGGTTTAATTTAATTTCCGTCGTTGATCTCGGAACGTTGTCGTGCCATGCCGCGTCAGGCCGTGCGAAATACCAGGGCATGCCGCGTGGCATGACGCGGTCCGTAATTGAATCTGTAACGGCGAGCAAATCAGCGCGGCGATCATTACGTTACACGAGTCGCACACTCGACGAGGCGATCGGCGTTCGTTAGCCAATCGTCGGTTTAATTGCCGGGGGCGAGTACAATAGGTCCCGGTTAAGCCGCAGCTTTGTGTTTAAAGCGTTAAGTAAACGCGGGCCCGGCCCAGCTGACCGATAGCTGCGATCTAATGGACCATTGTGTTATAGTACTCCATTATTATTGCC